GTTGCGCATGCGCTGGTGAGTCTCGTGAAAACCAACGTTTGTTTACAGGATCAAAGGAAGCAAAGTTTCCTTACTTTAGCAAAGGAAAACCAGTCTCCTCTTGGCTTATATCGAAAGCCTCCGACATTCTTCTTTACAAATCCTCGTTTTGTACTTCTAATTAGTGACCGTTGTTTTGTTTTGATCTCTCCGCTGCGCTTCCGCGTTCATCACTTCTGAGCGGCGCATGCGCAACTCTGACTTTATACGTCATTCCCCTGGAGCTGCTTCAGTGTACAACAGTGACCGCAAGCTAGATTAAAGTGATTCTCCGACTGGATTCGTCTGAAAGAAGAAAGTCATATACACCTAGGATGCCTCAGGGGTGAGTAAAACGCAGCCTAATTTTCATTTTTGGGTGAACTAACCCTTTAATAAAAGCGTTTTTGTACCAAAAAAATATGACCAAAATTATAAATTAAATAAAAAAAAGATTGTCCACAATCATCTTCAAGGGTCGTGCATATGATCTGCACAACACAAGAGAAACGGTTGCATTGTAAACACATAAAAACCTACGATATAAAACACACTATTTTATCAACTGTATTTAGTGTAAATATGTCTGTACCATCTCTACTAGTTATTATAGTTAACTAAAACAATAAATGTAAATAAACAATACATGTTAAATGAAATAAAATAAAATATAAAAAATTTACCATTTTAGTTTCCGAGGCAACATTTCTCTTTTTTGTTTGTTTAATTTGATGCACTAAATTAACAAGGAAAAAAAAAACTGAAATAAAAATTATATATAATACTAGTGTTCTAATAATTTTGGCCACCTCTGCATATTTATATATAACCAAAATTTTAACAGTATCTCAATGATACTAAAAACTAAAAAAAACACAGGTCTATACAAGTCATTCTAAATTAAATTTTCATTTTTAATTAAATGTAATTAATCATATATTGATGCTCACTACTTTGATTCTTTGAGGGCTGAGCATGAGATCTGAAATGACCAAAAAATGCAGATGAGCTGAAGGCCACTGTCAAAGAAACCTGGGCTTCCATACCACCTCAGCAGTGCCACAAACTGATCACCTCGATGCCACGCCGAATTGAGGCAGTAATTAGAGCAAAAGGAGCCCCTACCGAAGAAGTTGAGTACATGTACAGTAAATGAACATGCTTTCCAGAAGGCCAACAATTCACTTAAAATGTTTTTTTTATTGGTCTTATTAAGTATTCTAATTTGTTGAGATAGTTAATTGGTGGGTTTTTGTTAAATGTGAGCCAAAATCATCACAATTAAAAGAACCAAAGACTTAAACTACTTCAGTCTGTGTGCATTGAATTTATTTAATACACGAGTTTCACAATTTGAGTTGAATTACTGAAATAAATGAACTTTTCCACGACATTCTAATTTATTATTCATTATCTGTCTTTCTGGAAGCGTGATGGCGGTCTGTACATACAGTATCTCCTCCAGACTGGCTTCATCTCTGATGAAAGCTCTGCTCCTCAGTTCCCTCAGGAGCACCGGCTCCGTAACACCATCAATTTCCATTCTGGGTTCAATCTGAGCAGCATTTCAGAGCAATTCAGCGTTTCACACACACTGGCTGGCGATCCGAAGCCCCAGACAGGCAATCTGACGCTCCTGATGAGGAACAGGGAAGCTTAACCTGCTCCGTTCCCACAAAATTGTTTTTTACAGAGACCTGAGCAATCGAGACGGACCGATTACACACAAAACTATTCATAGCAGGGTTTCTGCAGACCTTTTTAAGACCTTTCTACACTGTAACAAATGATATGACCAACATGTGTTTCTACATTACTTTAACTCATCAAAATAAGTTAAGCAATTTTGTTAACTTTATTTTATAAGTTGTAGAAGGTTCAACTCCTTTTTTTAAGCCAGTTTAATGTAACATAAGTTGAAATTACTTCAACAGCAAAGTTGATTGCATTTAAATAAGGCAACAATGTATTTTTTACAGTGTAAGACTAAGGAAAGAGAAGTAAGGGAGCACAATATGATCTCTAAATATAAATGCCTTGTATTCAAACAATTAATCGTGATTAATCGCATCCAAAATAAGACGCAGCATCAACCGTGTGTTTGCTTCCCAAAGACCTGTTTTCTGACGACACGAGAGAAGCACAGAGCAGAGGGAAACCAAGCGAGGGCTGATCTTTATTGGGCGCGTGTGTGGCTGCAGATTAAAACACGGCTCTGGAAACACCTTTTAATCAGCGGCTTGTGAGAAACACTGGAGGTGAGAGCTGAACAGACCCGAGACGGGACGCATTCATCATTCAAACGGGCTCAAATCAAGCTCTTTGTGGAGCCTCTCAATTACTTCTCACTCACACACACGCTTAACGAGACAAAGACGGCGTGTTAAACGCGTCCGCACTAATGTACAGTCTCCAGCCGCTCCCGTAAAAACGGCTCGTTAAAGATGAACTGCCATCCGGTTTTCTGAAGGAAACAGATTGCGGTTCATCTTTAACAAGCTTGAGATAATAGGCATTATCATGTGAGATATCAGAGGAGTTTTGCATAAAGGATTCCATTAAACACAGCTTGAGATGCTTTGGACAATACACTCACGATAATCCAATCAGATGCAGAACAAGGCCCAGAGCATTATGGGATGGGTTTGAGGACTAATGAATATATAAGGGATGATGCTGGTTGATTCAGTCAGCTGGTCATTGTCACAGAATAAATATGGATATGATATATTAATCTGAGTATAAATTAAGGGAGTAGGAAGTAGTTATCTGTATCCTCATTGTTATATATATATATAGAGAGAGAGAGACAGAGAGACAGAGAGAGTTAGTAACTTATATAAAAATAAAATAAAATATTTTATATAGCAAATATAATATATAATACAATTTATATGATATTTGTCACATATTTATTTATATAATATATTAATGTACATTATAAAAATATATTAAATAAATAAATATACAACTTATATAATCTGAAAAATAATATATATGAGTCCAGGGTTATTATGGTTAACTAAGAATAAACCACAAAAAAGAACCTTCAATCAATTAAATTAAATTAAATTAAATTTAACTTAAGCATAACATTTCCTAAACTATGAAATAAACAACCTACCAGCGAAAACACTTCAGATATTATTAAATAAATTCACCCTGATGACCCACTATATTAAGTGTCATTTTAACATTTTCTCTAATCACAATCATGACTATACATTAGGGCTGGGTAAAAAATATCGATATCTCAATATTAATCAATTCTCATTTTCACAGAACGATATCGATTCCTAAATCCCAAGAATCGATTAGTCTAGCCTGATTTCAGTTAATGGATGGAACATTGAAGGGTACTTCCCATCCAATAAATCGCAATAAGCATTGTGTTTTGGTACTTATCATATGAAACAAAGTCTCAGATTTCAAATTCTGTCCATTGTATTGCAGTATT